GGACAATAATTAACACATTTTTGTTTAATACTATTAATACCTAAATCTTCATAAATAGTATGGTTTAGATATGAATAATAACAAAACCTTTTCTCAGAATTAGTCTCAAAATCTAATTCATGTAAAAGACTATCAATAAAAAGTGGAAAACAATTATAGCGTTGTTTCCAATAATATCCGACACATCGACGCATACATTGTGTATGAGACGTCGATCGAAAGGGTCGTTCGCCAGCACTTCCCGTATAATAACTACAGTTCCCGTGAGGGGGCGTTAAACTTGTTTTTATTGTTTTCTGTAAAACTATTGTCTCATTCATGGGATGAATAAATTGAAATAGTTCCTCTGACGGGTTCTCCATCGTATATATCGCATGCGAGTGAAAATGGGAGTCAAACTGTTTTCCCGCTTCAAAGTTATACAAAATCCGAAATATTTGGTTAGCATCAGTACCCAATGAACTTAAAAATTGGTTGCCCATTTTAATCGTAAGATATAGGTATATGTGTCCATAAATACGATGGGAATAACGACTTTTGATAATTTTAAAATTTGTGAAGTTATAATCAAATATATCACCACCAATACGCATGTTATTTAAATTTAAAACTGACGTATTCAGTAGGAAGTCTAAATTAGTGTTAAATGTGCATGTTTGTGCAGCACGAGGGTTGAAAATACTTGTTTGGCATTTAAATTTGTCAAATGATAAATAATCTACAAATAATAACGTAACGAAAGGATAGTTATCATCGATTTTGTAGTTTGTTGTGTCAATTGTGGTAATGGTATGAAAACTGAAATATTTGACAGATATGTCGTATAACTGATGGATAAGTATTGCCGTCAATAGTGCTGTAAATATGAGCTGAAAGTAATTAAAAATATGAAAACATCATTATAATTTTATAATAATTCAAAGTAAATTAAATACCTTTAAAATGTAAGTAATTTTAGATGAATTAACTATATTTCTAACAAATGTATTAATATTATATATAAAATGAGTATTTCTAACGTATAGTTCGCCATATAATATGAAATCTTGAATTAAACCAATGAAACTGATTCCATGCCATAGACACAATATGTTGGCTATACTTATGATTAATGTAATGAATGTGTTTTTTGCAGAATATTTGATTAAAATATAAAAGTCTCCATTTAAATGAAAATAGTAATCAATAAAACCAACATAATAAGGTTCACTATTAATTTGATATATAAATAGATCTTCAAAGCATTGTACTGGGCATTTATTTTGGCAAATATTATAAATCTTCTTGTTAGTACCATTATTATTATTACTATAATAATCTGAACAAAATGTGACATTTGGTTCAATGTATCCATCATTCAATTGAATGGTTAATAGACTGTTGTATTTGGGAATACATTTGAATCGATTCTCGTATTCATTTCGGTATTTGTCAAACATTTTTATCTAATTTTCATTATAGTAG